TTTTGTGACTTGTTACAAATTCAGATGAATGGCTTAAATGAAGCCAATGCTATACATCTCTCAAATGCTATCTTTAAATATTACAAGAAAAGTTATAGCAAAGGTCAAGTTCTAGCAGAATGTTTATGTGCTTCCTATATCAGTGAGGAAGATATAAGTAATGAGTGTTATATGAAGGGCCAAGGTACAATATATCTGAATATATATCTCAGTCCTATTGTATTGTCAGTTGTTCTATAACAACAAGATGCTGGACCTGTTATTAATGTTGCCACACTACATTTCTCATACTTATCTATTCGCTTAATACAAGTTCAGTTAGGATTATTGTGTGATTAACTTTGGTGTTCAAAAAATTGCTCTACTGATTTCAAATTGCTCAATAAGCAAATTAGTCTCAGTTAGGGAAACGTAGCAGACACAACATTCAGGCAGTTCCAAAGTGCCATACGACAAACCTGCAAAATGCAACTTCCGCAGTGCGTTTGCTCAACACATTGTCATGAGCACGAAATGCTTTATTGCATTTTAGCAGTTAGCTGCGTGGTGTGGAGAAGTGTATATTCTAATGTTAAATAATTATGTGTTCAAGTGCTGTTTAATACCTTATACATTTTATTACAACATTGCCAATTTCTGGAAAATATTACAATTTCTGCTTAATTCGTAGATATCACTCGGATGGAAATGCTAATTTTGGGATCCTGTTATATAATGTCATTAAAAGACCAAAATTAATTCAATTTTTTAATTAAAACCTAAATGATCACTTACTATAAAGTCCGCTTCCTCCTGAGAAATTGTTTTTCAAAAAAATCATTTGGTTTTGAAAATGGACCCTATTGTAGCATAGATTATAGAGAAACAACAGCAACAAATTATATTTGTATAGCGCCTTTCACATTGAGAGGATGAAGGCGCTGGTCAGTCAGGGATTTGGACCCGAGCAGGATCAGGAGGAGTGGAGGGCAGGGAGGGTCAGGGTAGAATGGTGGTAGAAGAGGAGGGTCTAAAGTCGTGCCTTGAAGGAGGCGGTGGAGGGAGCAAGTTCCAAATGGTGGGGGCAGAGAGACGGAAGGCCCGACTTCCAATGGTGCTAGTGCTGCGGGCCGGGCAGGGTTAGGAGCCTGCTGAGCGGAGGGAACAAACAGATTGATATGGTGTCAGCAGGTCACAGAGGTAGGAATGAGCAAGGCCCTGGAGGGTTTTGAAGTCGAGGATGAGGATTTTGAACTCTATCCTCTGGGGGATGGGGCACCAGTGGAGCCGGGCGAGAGTGGGGGTGAGGACATTCCCCAGAGCACAGAGTGGGTGGGTGAAGTCAACAATTGGGCAGGTTCACGGAGCCTGGTGCGGAAGAGAAGATGAGCTGCAGACTTTGGGAGGATCTGCAGCTTGTGGAGGAAAAATTTGGTAAGGCCGACAAGCAGGGAGTTAGCGTAGTCGACCCAAGATGTAACAAATGCGTGGATGAGGGTCTTAGCGGCCTGAGGGGAGAGGCCGTGCCGGAGCTGGGCGATGTTGCGGAGGTGGGGGAAAGCAGAGTAGGTCATGGCACGGATCTGGGGTAGAAAGGACAGTTGAGAGTCAAACAAGACGCTATTGTTCCGGACTGACTCAGGGAGGTGGAGTGTGCTTCCATGGATGGTGATGCTGCCAGTGCCTGGAGATGTGGAGCTCTGTCAGGACAGTAGTGGTCCTGGAATCGAGCGTGGAGATAGAGAGATAAATTTAGGTGTCATCCGTATACATGTGGAAGTTGACCCCATGTCTGTGGATGAGGGAGCGATGAGGCAGAGAGACAGAAGGTTCGACACGCCAACTCCCTGCTTCTCGGCCTTACCAAAGGGAGCATATAGATATCGAAAAGGAGAAAGGACAGAGCCCTGAGAGGAGAGGCGGTGGAGGAGGATAGAATGGTCGACAGTGTCGAAGGCCGCAGAGGGGTCAAGGAGAACGAGGAGACAGAGGGAGCTTTGGTTGCAGATGGACAAAATGTCAGTTGGCACTTTGACCAAGGCTGTTTCTGTGCTGTGAACGATCTAAGGGAACCGAGATTAAAGTCATGATGAAACAGGATATCTATTATTGACACAGTCTATATGGGACTCAGAGTTTTGAATCAATAATTACATTTGTGTTGCGCATTTACTTATACATTATAAGTAGGTTAATGTGAAACTTGATGGATTGGCATTTAAGTCTTACAGTACCTATTTGGCATTTTACCCATATGTATTGACTTTCTTAAGAAGGAAACTTCTGAACAAGATCAAGAATTATTTATATGCAGAAGATCCTTCATCCCAATTGATTTTGTCCTTTCAGAGGGTGAACCATACCATTAACCCATCATGGCATTAAACTGTTTCTCAAATGAGTCTTGTGTTTTGGCCTCAACTGTCCTTTCTTGTAACACATTCCAGCTGCGGATTAACCTCTGCAGATTTGGTGTTTTAAATTCGCCTTTACAACTCTGATCCTATGTATTAGAATTTTGGGGGTGTTGATTTTGAAATGTATCTTATTGTGAAGTCAGGGTTATGTGTAGCTTTATTTGGGAAGTAGGGGAACTGAGTAGATATACACACAAATGTGCTGTTAAATCTATAGTTAAAATACAGTAAGTGAAATGTGTATATATTTATATATATTTACTCAATAGTATTTAGAAACGTAAAATACAATTTCAAAAGTATATTTGCTATATTGTGTTTTATGTCAACCTGGGATCATTATATGAACAAAATATTCAAGTGCAAGTTAAGCTTTATTTAAAAAAATAATCCAGGATTAAATGTCAATGACTGCAGCCTATCATGCAGAAATGATCTCTTAAATTAGTTTTCAGAGTGTTCACTTGCCAAGCAATAAATCTAAGGTCTATTGGAACAAAATACTTTATTGCATTGAAATTTAGAAACTCCTTCTGCAAAATGTTTCCATCAGTGCTGTAACAAATTGACAGAATCTTAAGGCTTTGTTCATTTCACTGAACTTTGAAGTTTTTATCCCCTCCCACCTTAGCTTCCTTCATGCCTGATCTTCAATCACAGGAGCCGAATTCTTCAAAGGTCCACTGTCCTTTGAAAGTCCCCACAAAGGTGGGCTTGTTACACTTCGCTTATTTTCCAGTGGCTAATGCAGATTCAGGAAGATTCCACATGAGTCTGAGTAACAACTAAAGCACTAAATTCATATTGTTTCAACAAACCTGTGATTGACAGCTGACTTTTTTGCTTAATCAAATCTTATTCATGTGAGCCATTTCATGTGAGCCAATTGAGACTGACTGAAATTTTATTTTTATTCTCGGAATGTATTTTGTGATATTTACTACTGTTCTTTTTACCCTCTCACTTCTTATTGGGTGTTGTATCATCCTTTCCAGTACGATGAGGTGCTTGAGACTGCAAGTGGAACATATCTTGTTCCAAGTCATACGGGTTGTGGAAGAGATGCCTTTTTACGCAACAGAAATCCAACAGTCGTAGATAGGCAGAGACGCTGTCCTGATTCATCCCAGACTGAGTTGTGTCATTTTGTTGATAGCTTTATTGCTGAGCCTTTTTGCTCTCCTCAAGCAAATATATTTTAGCTTTGGGAACTTGTTAAAGCCACACACCTAGGTTATTTCTCAAATGAGAAATGTTGTATATTGTTTATTTGGACAATGTTAAAATGAGATGAGTTAATGTTAGTGATTTGTGTTGCACTCTCGGTGGAACTGACTCAAAGAAAGAAGCTACACCCAAATTCACATGTAATTCACCAAGAAGTAGCTCTAAAAATAATAGGATCGAGAAATACGAAAAGGCAATGTCAAGCAACTAGAAGGAAAACCACTGTTACATGTTACATATATCCCGCTTGAGTTGAATGCCTGCCACAGAAAACTGAGTTGTACAACTTCCCATTGTTCATATTCATGGTTTGAAGGATAATAATGAGAAAGTGGATTATTGGAGCCAAGTCTCAAACCGTATCAAATCTGTCAGAAAACATATGCAAATAGAGGCTGTATGAATGGTGTATGCTTCACTATCTCTTGACCCTTATATTCATCCATGACTTCATACTTGACTATGATACGAGTGTGCCAGATACCAGAACATCCAAGTTGGCTGGGAAGCTCCCTTTCTGTTTCTTGCCTCACCTTATCTACTGCTAGAAAGAAATTGTAGATGGGGTAGTAAGGAGGTCGTATCTGTGCTCTTCTGTTGCATTAAGATCTTAAAGGCACCACTTAAGTGTTTGTGGCATTGCACCTCAATGTATGCTGGCTTAGGTGCAGCTGTAGATCAACCTCATGCACAGTATGAGAAACACATGGAATATGAGGAGACCAAGCACTTTGGGGTCAATCAAGTCCAATTAAGGGTTTGAGCGCACTGACCAACATTTTTCTTTTGGCCCTCAAACAGGACAGTCTAATTAACTTGCAGATCCATCGGCAAATTAAATTGTTACTCTGTCAACAAAAACAAAATTACTTTTGTATAGTGCTTTTCACATCGGGAGGACATCCCAAGGCGCTGCAATGGGAAATAGATGGATCCCATTGTGACTCAAACTACAACCTCACAAGAGCATCAACACTGCAGCCATGTTATTTCCCCACTTTCCCATTTCCTGCAGGAAGTACTGCTGATGTCCGTTCATGAAGGAAGTGACAGGAGCTCTTCTTGCACATAGCTTGCATGCTCAGTGCAATTGCTCCTCATTTTCAATGATCACTACATTTCTAGCTTATGCTGAAGGTTCCAGAGATATGATTAGCATAGATTTCCAGCTTTCAGTCCAGCAGCAATTTTAACAAAGCAATGCTCTTTGTTTATGTTGAATAAAAGTCTGATTGAGATTTGGATCCCACTTTAATCTGCAAATCCTATCCTTGTGGGGAGGGGGGGGGGGGGGGGGGTGTGGGTGGGATGGTGAATACTTGTTGGTTTAATTTTTTAACTGTCATCCATCACCGTCTGTTCCCTTTGTGTTTCCAGGAACCAATGTTCACGAAGCCAAGCGTATCTTGAGTGAAAGCGGTCTGCCAATCACCTCTGCCATCGACTTGGAAGATGCAGCTAAAAAGGCTGTTGCTAGTGTTCCTCACAAATAACCTTTTGAAGGAACATACCTTCAAGCAAACTTTCTTCATAATGTATTTGCCAAATTACTAGTTTCCACTAAATTTAGTCCTAATTTTCTATGGTTACTAAAGATAATAACCAAAATAATATATGGAAGTGTCAATACGTACATTTTTACAGAGGATTTATCAGGGATCGTTTTACAGAACTTCAAATGCACACTTTATACAAATATAATGACTTGCACATTGAGCACCCACACATGTTCAATTCAACAATCACTGTGACTAGCCTCCCTTTTTACGCAACTTAGATCATTTGTTTTCCATTTTTTAAAATAAATTGTCTATGTCTGAGAAATCTAGTTGCACAAGATAGTTCTTTTCATAGGCATCTCTATAATCTTTAACAATTGCAAGATGATGTGAAGAGAGCTCAGCCTTTGCCTTCGCCTTAAGATGGATTAAAATAGCACCACTGATTGTACAGCAACAGACACACACTTAATCAGATTGGAACGCTCTTGAAAGCCTTTAACCTCCAACACTGCAAGGAAAGTCAGGTCGGGTTTGGCTCAGCCTGAAGATAGGCACACATTAGTAAATGAGTGGGCGATCTACATTAATGTCAGGTTCCAGTGGGGGAAAAAATAGAATCCATCAATCTCATATTTTAAATATGTTTTTTTTCCTGTTGTCGCTGGTCATTTTCTTTTTGTGAAATGCATTTTCATCAAACTACAAAAACCACTTTCAAAGTCTGTTCACCCTTTGGTGGCTTTAATGCATTTGTGGTGGTAGGTTTAAACAAGATTGTGAAACGGAGTATATCAGTGCAAGTATGTGAATACAAATCTGTATCACCTATTGCTGTTGTAACAAAAGTCTTCCAAAATACAAATAAAATACTTAAACTTATATGGATGTGGTTGAAAAATAAATGAGATCTGTTTTTATTGTTTTTAGTTCCCAAGAGCAGCCCATGTGAATGCTTCAGTGCTATTTCCTTGCAGCTCGTCTGATTTGTTGAACTTCATGCTGTTATTCCCAAATTCTATAGTTAAAAACATCTCAAGATTGGATGGTTATTCATTAGGAATAAAAGAGAGACTGTCTTTTCTAGCAGCCATCTGTCATAATCCAAATTAATATCTTTGAATGTTTAGTCATCTGGAAAAGTTCAGCTAGAATTCATTTTGTTCAGTATCCCTGAACTCTACTCTACTCTTAAACAGGATTATACTTGCTGAAGTATGGGCCTCTTACCTCTTATCCCAATAGTTTTTCTTTCTGGATGTTGATTGAGGTTGGTTTGCCAAAGCTACAGGAGGGGAGAGAAGACAGAGGAGGGTTGGTTCTGTCGTGTGTTTTATTCAGAAAAGGACAGTTTAGAGAGACTATAAACGGCATTAAATTAAACATATATCCATATTACTAATGTGAGGATTATGACAGATCTTTTTGTAATCACTCATTTACATTTGAGTATACATTAAGCATATATTCTTACTTTCTATGGACTTAGTTCAGTTTTACTATCGTTGTTCATCTATTTCCCAGTGTACGAGTTAATTCTATGAGCGTCTTACCTTCCTTACACTCTTGAGACTTTTAATTATTATTCTGTTATTCTTCACTGAAACCTCTTCAATGCATCAGTGTCCTTTTGAAGATCAGGTAGCTAGGATTCCACAAAGTAGTCCAGACACATCCTCACTGCTCAAGTCCTACAAAGTTAAAATAATATTTCTATGAACCTGAGTCAAGCAAATAAATTATTGAAATTATTAGGAGCTTCAAGGGCACTAATAGTGTCCAGAACACAACACATTCTGTAGGTTTATCAACCAGACTGAACTAAAAGATAAGCTGCCTCAAGACATGGTGAAAACACTTGTCGACAAGTGCCATATTCAGATTAGTAAAATACACCTTCCAAAGTCTATATTTACATGTCTCACTTATATCACTTTACCTTTTTTACAGTTGTCTTCTGCTAAATCGATGTCAGAACCTTCCCTTATAAGGTTGAAAACTGATTATAAATAGCAATGTTTACTTTGATCAGCCAAGTGCCTGATATATGAACAAACCGATCACTATGCTTAAGAGTATCTAAACCAGACTCTGAGTTCCATGTGTGCAAGCCAGCTATACATGGAGGGTCCCCCTTGACTGGAGCAGAGTGCATTATTTTTCCAAAGTGACACACCAGGTTACCTAATTCATGCAAGTATTAGGTGCATGTTGGCTAGAGTCAAGGCCCTCTGGAACTGCATCCCACAGTCCCTCCGCCTTGCCCCTCCCCTCCACTGCCAGCAGGTTTGGTCAATGATCAGAGCCACAACATGGTCACCACTCGTGTCAGGATCCACAGCCCCATCTGATACCCTTGAAAACACAAGCGATAATTACCAACCAGCCCACATTTCCTAGAGAAGCACAACATGGCATCACTCCTGGGAAAAGGAAAGGCCAATCTCAGACTTCTTACCCCAAAGGAATTGATGTTTTAAGGTGAGAAAATTATGTAGTGAATGTGTTCACAGCACCAACAACTTGGATTGTTATAGCACCCTTTATGCAGGATAGCATCTTGTGCTCTTAATTTTAGTACTTGGAACGCTTTTATTATCATGTTCTCAATGTATTCTCTCATTCTTATCTGAATAATTCCAGCAGTTAATAACACAAGGAAAAAAAGGTTTGTCTCTTGTGTTATGAAAAGTATTTTTCCCACTCAAAGAAATACTTATGAAGGGAATTTGCAGAAACTTTGTTTGAAACATTGCGATGAACATGAAGAGTTCAGCATTTATGTGAAAATAATCATTTTCAGTACAGGCTATTATTTCTGGTGAGCTGTGTTCTTTAATTGCCTTTAAAAGATTGATGTGATGTACTCAGCTCCGACAGGTTATGATGACACCCAATGTATTGTACAACAAGCAATACTGCAGATTTAATGCCTGCTAAATAACATGCTTCAGTTTTCTAATATTCCATTTAAATCTTGCATTACATTGAAACTGAAAGTTTAATCTCTCAATGAATGTTTTGATGCGCGACATTAAAGGCTAAAATAAGCTTTTCTAGCCTGCTTTTTAAAAAAATAAACCAGCGGGAGTCATGCTTTCCACTATACCCCACAGAGAAATGCATTTGCTTCAATAATCTAAAGGTAGGGAGTATACAAGATATGCACATCTGACAGCAGAAGATTAGACCTATTAAAAAGAAACTTAATTTTTTTTCATCAAATGCTACATTATTCCAAACGATTAGCTATGTAAGAATCTAAATGACTTATTAAAAAATAAATGATTCGTACATTTACGTTTCCAGACAGATCATTTCAGTATTGTGTTACTGAAATTGCAATTCCTGTTTTTGTTTTTGCAGAAAGGAGGCAAAAATCGTTTGTTTTTAGCCTTGTAAATAGTTAGTTTGTAATCCTTGGCCTTGAAATCTCTCTTAAAAAAAACATTTTACCTCAGAGTGAGGAAGAGCAGTGCAATATATTGCTGTAAATTGATGTTTAGTGGCTTGTTTTGATGCAAATTGTGGCATAATGTTACAGTACTGGGTAAACAAAGTTTTATTTCCCAAGCTATTTACAATAGACCGTGCCTCTTTAAGATTCTACACGTAACACATTTAGCTGCTTCGCCATAATATTTTTTTGTCAAATACAGACAGAAACCGTAATTGTATCTGTAGTTTTATCTGTACAAAATTCATAAACTTCCACGTTTGTATGTTATCACAATAATGGATATGGTATGAAAGCTGACAGTGTTTTCAATGATTTATAATAGTTTGCACATTTTCCAAACCTAATTTCACTGCTGGAACTCAATTGTGTTTTCATAATACTACTGAATGAACCTCCATGAAACCGCACAGTTTTTAAAGTTCTCGAGTCTTTTGATTTCATATGTTTCCATTTTACTTAAATGAGAATCCCAGTGTTAATGTTGCTCTCGAACTGTGCTGAGGCATTCAGTGGAGGCGAGTCACTAAAGCTTGGTATCATTGATACACCATCGCATTGGCACGAAATGTAATAATAATAATAATTCTTGCATTTGATATAGCCCCTTATCACGTCTTCAAGACGTCTCAAAGCGCTTCCCGGAATATACTGTAAATTGAATTGACTGTATATTTTGTGGGTAAAATGCAGCAGCCAATTGTAAACAGCAGTGTTGCACAATCGGTTGTGGATTGAGTGACTAAATTTTTTTGAGGAATTATTACAACAACATTATGTTTGCAAAGTGCCTTTCACGTTGGGAGGATGTCCCAAGGCGCTGAAAGTTATTACCTCCGGACTAGTGATTACCCCCAGAAAAACGATCCGCCAATCAACTAACAGCCAGGTTTCCCTTGTAGCAAGGTTCTACTATTAGTTATTGGCCTGACCCATTCTTTTTTTCATGCCAGGAGAGATATGTGGGGAAGGAAGATCATTTAGCCCACAATATCGCATCCTTGCAGAATTCCAACTCGACAAGACATCAAGAAGTTTCTTAAATAAGTCCAATGTCCAGTTCTCAAATATCCTTCCTGGTAATCCTTCCACTTGTTGATTACTATCCATGTGACGAGGTATCTGTATTTACCTGTATTTAGCTGTATTTAATTCCAAAAAGAACATGTTAACACAGTCTATTAATTTTATCAAGTACAGCCTTTCTGTTTGTACGTCTTTGCCCAGAGCAAAGGATTAGCCCATGACATCTATATCACCGTAAAAAGATTATCGAGGAGAGGAATAATATAAGGATTACTTTGGAATATTATTCTCAGGGCTGTGGTTTGGAACATGCGCTTGCTTAATGCTTACATTTTGATGGTGAATGCAATCTGGTGGCATAACGTACTGCATCCATTTGCAGCAGAAGCACAAGTCAAAAGGTTGCCAAAACATTTTAACACCTACCAACTAGGTGTCAATTCGGTGAGTTCTATTGTTTGAGTTAGTGCTTTACTGAATTGAGTGAAATGACTGAGATCAACAAGGTTCTGTATTCGTGGAATCAGATGGACATAAACAATCCTGTTATACTACTTGAAATAGTCCTGGCCAACTATCCTCTAGGTTAATTGATCATTTATCTTGTTGGCTGTTTGAAGCTCATTGCTGGCACAAGTAGCTGCCACTGTTGCATACAAATATGGCCACCATACTTGACAGTAATCATCTGTGATGTATTTTAAGACCTTTCATTGTGATCAGGAGCTATAAAAACAATTACATTCTTTCTTTGTATTATTTTAATTTTGATCAATTTGAAAGGCTGTCAATTCAAATTCAAATTCCCCTTTCAAAGTACCCTCACATGACAGAATGTTTAACATTGTGTTGAGGTTCAGAGGTGAAAAATTATGAAATTCTTCACAAGAGTTGACAAAGTGCCACTGTTCACTGCATATTACTCCTTAATATCAGTGAAAAACACATTGAAGCACTATCTCCCAGACTCTAAATGTATTTTTCTGAACTACTTTCTGCCTGGTAAACAAATTCTTAATGCATTAAATTACGAATGTGAAACAAATTTACTGCAGAACAGATGATTTGCCCGAATATCAAGATGTTTCTCGGTCTGATTAAGTGTTTTTTGATAAAATATCAAAACACTTGAAAATACTGTGCAATTCATTTCAAATGATCCAAAGTCATGGTTATCAAGTGCAGTTATTTTTGTTTGTTACCAAAGCACTTTGGAGCTTCATGCAGTTCACTTTTATAAATTAAATCAAGCAAGCATTATTCACCAATAATATACGTCCTTGTATATCATTATTATTGTGTGCATTGAAATATTTATAGAAGCTAAAACTCCTTGAGCAAATAGCTCATTTAAAAAAGGTACTTTTCATGAATTGGGATTTACAGTAACACTCCGATT